GGTACAGCATCGTTGCGTGAAGCACTTGGGGGGTCCTACTTCTCCGCGGGGGAGGGGGTCGTATTTGGTGGTTAATGTGACAGAGAGAGGGGTCGTACGTGGTTTGGAAGAAATTTGCAAAATTTTTCGCAATTGTTGACTTTTCGCGTGTGGTGTTCTTATTTCATGTGAACTACTCACCCGCCCTCCGCCCCCTCCCCCCGCTCGACAGCGAAATTTTTGGGTAGAAGTGGGAAAATTTCCGAGAAATTTCGGAAAAAGTGCCAGGAAGCTGAAGAAATAATTTTTCCCGCTCCACATAGCTATACTACACCCCCTCCGGTCGACGGAAAAAACTTTCTTCTAGGTGAAAAACTGGAAAATGTGAGAAAATGGTAGGTAAGTGGTGGGGAAACTATCCTCATTCTAGCATAGAACTAAACAATAAATAATTGAATCGCTTGAGTATGACACTTTTCTATGCATTTCGCCATATCAGTAGTTAACACAGCAATGAACTGCAAGCAAAACCGGTTATGGAGCCTTTACCACGATGTTTTCTAGCCAATGCCCTAATGCCAATGCCATTACTGCCCCACCAAACTCCTGTTGCCATTCACCTTTTTCACATTTCTTTTGTAAGAAACTTAACTGTTTCAACTCAAATACACCTGCCACACCTCAATTTGTTGTGTGGAACAATGAGGGTGGGAAAGGTTCAAGATGTTCCCCGAAAGAAAAACACTCTTAAGAAAACCATTCCGTATGAGTCTGCCTAAAAAGAAACCTTGCCAAGGCAGTTGTGCTGGTCTCAGGGTACGGCGTGCGTTGAGGATCCTAGCTAATTTTTTCCTTTTCAGATGCACCTAAATATCCTCCACCCCCTCCCCCCCCCTTTTTTTCGAGAGTTAACAATTTTTTTTCAGGGAAAAGTGGAGGGATTTCTGGAAAGAACTCCGAAAATGTGTAGGAAAAGGTGGGGAAATCTAGGAATAATGGCAGGGAGGGTGGGGAACGAGGGTTATACTACAGGAGAAAATGGTAAGCGGGATAGAATTTTGAAAATTTTCTCCAGCGATAGGACGTACCCTAGCCAGTCTACAACTGCTACCGTCAACTTGTAGCAGGCAGCGCAAAAACTGCAGACTGATTTCCCCCGAAGATATGCGGGAACGATAGCACAACAAAAAGGTGGACGTTCAGCATTCGGCTCTGATATCCCTTTCCTTTTTACGCTCCATAAGCAACGAAAACGAGGTCAATGGCACAGATTATTCTTCAGAAAACTGAATGTTGTTGGGCTTGGAAAGGACACTTTGCATTCTCGCCAGGTCCTGTGACTACACGATAGGTTCTCGTCAAGTGTAAACGACGCTCCTGCAAAGACGCTCCTGCCTCCACACGAATTTTTAGGTCTACCCAATTGGTACACAAGGATCGATAAAGCCAGCTTAAGGCTTGTTCCAAGCCGAACTGCGCTCACAAATTGTCTTAAAGGCGGTTGGCATGATGATTTGGTGCTCGGCCTAAAATGCTAATTGGGAGCTATATAGTGGGGGAAATGGTGAAATAACGGAGTGAAACGGTCAAAATGCTGCGAAGAAAGAGCCCGCCTCAATGTGCTAGAAATCAATTTTGGACGAGTTTCCTGTAGGCATCTTGCCAATAACCGCTACCGAAGGTACGGCTGCATATGTGTACTCATATATCCATGCAGCATCACGGCCGCTTCATACCAATCCCTTCGCTTCATAATTTGCTTAGCAAATGAATGATTAGAGCGTCAGGAACGGTCGTCCATTTGTGGGCGGGCGGGCGTGGCGGGCGTTTGGGACGTAATGTTGTGGCTTGATAGGGCCCTTATAAGGGCACCTCTCTTGGGAAAAGGCATTATGCAGCGCCTGCTCAGGGTCGCGGAATTCCGTCCTGCCAGGCGTAATGATCCTACTCGTCTTGGGAGATTTATCGTGCCAACTGCCTTTAAAAGAGCACACCGCCATGTACTCCAATGGAAACACTTAACTCCTTCAAGGGATTGCAATCGTTCGCCATGGGCAGGGTACAGCATCGTTATGCGAAACACATGGGGGAGTACTTGCCGCTGGGGGAGGTCGTATGTGTCGTTGAGCGAATTTTGCCGCGTTGGAAAAAATTTTTTCCCGGTACTTGACTTTTCGCGGTTTTCCCGTTTCACATTTGCTATCCCCCCTCCCAGTTGGGTGAGCTGCCAAAGTTCTATACAAACTACAATTACTTTTTCCGATAGCTGTAAATAGTAGTTGTGTTCTGACGACCTCCTCCTCCCCCCTTAGCTCGACGGAAAATTTTTAGGGAGAAAGTAGAACATTTTCGAGAAATTAAAGGAGTAAGCTGGTAGGAAGCTGGGAACATGTAGGGAAGTGATAAGTAGGTGAGATCTCTCAGGGGGGAGGGTCGTAATGACACCACCATTTCACATATCACGTATCCGTATCTGTACCCTGGCCATGAGTACGATTCTCCGCAGCAATGCTCCTGAATAGCCTGTAGCCGTCATCTATACGCATCAGGGGACGAACGACCTCGCGTCACACCCCCTTGGCCTTTGCTCATGTTAGACGCCTACTGCGCACCCATCCAAGGAGGAAATATAGAAGCGTCCACTTTCAACCGCAACGTTCGATTTTTTTTCTCGCTATACAAGTTCGTCTACCATTTTCCTCTTTAACATAGACGGTAACCAACTTTTTCTGCAAAACCCCGCCGGTTCTGCAGCTCCCTATCCATCTCTCCCCCTCTTGCCCAACCAATACATTATAAATCATCCACCTATTTCTTCTCCACTCCGTCCATTTGTCATGTAATCCCTCCTCCTAAAGTTCACTTTTTCTGTCGTGTACTTGTAGAACGCTTGAATGCAACAATAAGAAAGATGGTTCTATTATACCAAAGACAAAGCCAGCGATTGGCGCCTCCTTACGAAATCTGCTCCATTGAACACATCCTGCTACTGCGCCTAATAAGCCCTTGGCAACTTTCCAAAAAAACATAACACGAAACACGCACGAATATCTCTCCCTCTGCACAAAATATGAGCTCTCAACCACATTAGTAACACAAAAACACACGGGAACTTTGAAACTGGTCAGTTTGAAACGCGACATTTCACGCCCAATAAATCTCAGCTCCGGCATCAGTTATATGGGAAATGGAGGTAGGTACAAATAGCCACGATCGGCAAGTCGAGGTCGATCGATAACAAAATCGCTAACCAAGCTGTTCCCATTGTACTGGCTTGAGCTGTTTCCTACTTTCTGTAGAACCTGAAGATTCGTAGGACTAACCCATCAGCCGGTGACTTCTCGAATAACCCTAAACGGCGCTCCACAATACTGCGTCCCATTGCTCGCGAAGCACTATGTTCCAGAAATCTCGGCGTCCTAGAAGACCCATAAATTGATAGGCATCAAAAAAAAACGAAGAAAAAAAGCAGTCACTTCCTATATCCACTGAGAGCGCAGCTAATTCGTACATAACTTGGTACACGATAGGCCGGTGTACCACATTCGGCAACTGCCAAATTATCCTCAGACATGAACTGTGACACACCAGCAAGTGGTGTTACCTGAAGGTCCTGAAAATTGGAACGTCGGCATTAATGTCGAAAAACTATTCTAAATATAAAAAAAATCCGTCAATACCAGGCTCTAAAAGTCACCAGGAAGATTATATAAAGCAACTGAAGAATGATGAATAAGTTTTCCAGGTCATGAAGATGAGAAAGAAATATGCGAAATCGTAAGAGAAAAGAAAACCTAATTGCCAGGCTCCGCTCGTCGTCTTCCACTGAGAAACACTGCGTTGAATTCATAATGACAGTTCAGTTCTATTCACGAAAATACCACTATTTGCGAATCTTATGCTGACAGTATTGATTTATGGGATGCTCGAAGGCCTTCACAACACAAATGATGTTTTGCTATACCCTAAGTAGGGTCATAGAAACGTCTGCATGCTAGGCACAGCGCCGTAAATTACCACTTTGTTCCATTGTAGTGTTTTCGAATGCACAACAGAAAAAACATGATTATGGTACCAAGTTCTCCCGTTAATGGGTGGTTTACGAGCACCAGCTAATGGCACACTCCGCTTTCATAAATGGTCTATTGTGCGGCCCAAGTGTTACTGACAAGGTGGTAAACAACCCAAAAGCGAAGAAAAATGCAGAAAAAAACCACCCCGAATGCCCCATATACAGCTCCATGCGGAACCGCATTTCTGCGTGCATAAGAGGATGTGTAGGAGTGGTCGGACGAGTTCTCAGTAGTTGGTGCCAGCTCTTTCTCCTTATCACCTCACTCTCATCACTCAAAACGGAGAGAACTAGGTGCTGAATGACCGCACTACGAGAAAGCCTTCAGAAATGAAAGCCGGGCGTTGTCGCGGTCAGTGGGCGGGGCCGTGGTATCGTCGCGAGCGCTTAGCGCTTTTTCATGTATTTTTGAGCTGCGAAAATAAGTACATCCTTCATGTTTGCGGGCAGGACTACACAAATCAAAGATGGCGTTTGCGCTAGAACAGCGGGCGTGCCCTTAAAATTGAGGAAAACTAAATAGTTTGTTGTACCCACCCTCTGTGCCCATCATTAAGAGAGGAACAACGCATTGTATAGCGATAATTGAATCAGATAAAATTACAATTATCATGTATTTATTAGTTCGGCTTAAGAGGGGGCGTTGTACACCTTCGCTACTTTCCATGGTCGTTGTATTCGTTGCTTTACAATAGCTAACAGGTATTCATTGCAACAGTTGACAAGTAGTCTTCAAGAATTTGACTGGTATCACTTCATGGCTTCACAAGATCACAAATATCTACTTGATGGCTCGGCTCGACAATAGGGAGCATCGAAATGCTAAGTGACCCCCAAGCCGAACTGAGCCTGAATATTTACACACGCCAATAAGTGAAATAAAAAATGCACATACCGTGCCACGTTGAAGTGTCACATGACGGAGATCGTTTTCACTCATCGCTGGACGAGGAGTGCCGAATTTCGGTTGAGGGATCGCCACTTCGCCGCTATCAGGTGATATCAAACTAATGTCCTGAAAATCAAAATCAGCTCAACGTATAGTAGAACCGAGCAATAACGCATTTATTTGAAAAAAAGGGAAACAAAGAAAACTCAAGCAGCAGAAGGATCATCGCGCATACAATTCAAGCACCCATTTAGAGAGGGCAAGCAGAAATTCACGAGTTTCTGCGCCGTTTTCCCGGAGGCACCACATGGTGCTGAAAGAGTTCACCAGGCCGCAATGTGAAAACTTAAAAGTGCAACCTGTTAGCGAAACGAACTAGCGGAAGTCCAAATACCCCACCCCACCCCAAAGACGAACAGCGCCCGAGTGTTTGGTCTCCACCTGACATTGTTCCCAAATAGTCGTGGTAGGAAAAGCAACCGATCTGGTCGCGATTCACCCCGTGGGCTGAAAAGCAAGGCTCCTTTAGGCACTATGTTAATTTCACACCAATTGAAACAACGTGATGACGCTACGACTATTGATCTATCATTACCGCCAAAATTACTGCCCTTCATCTAACGTCAAAAAAGCGAATGAATAGATAAAAATGTGAAGAAAAGTACCTTCTATCCCCTTCCCCATTCATTCAGATTGTTGATTCAAAGCTCGGCGCTCTTCAGCTTAGGAGGGCATTTCTACTTTTACTAGTACCTTCCGCTTGTTCATGTTACGGGTTACATTTCGGTGAGAGCTGTAAGTGTTCAGTGGAGCTGTGAAATGGTATAACTGAGCCACATTTGTTACAGGTATTGACAGGCCTTCACCAGATGGACTGAACTAGCTTCGCTAAGCATTGTTTGCTGCCCCCCTCAGGCCGAAGTTCGCCAAAAACCTTTGGTATAAAGAAATTTCTTCGAATTATTTGTTTGAATTAGGATAACACTGACTCTAACAAACCTTTTCGCCCTTCTTCGACTTTCTCCTAGACAGTCTGTTGATGAGAGTTCCAAATCGATGCGGAGTTTGTGAAGCATCACAACTTAAACGAACAAAAATGATTAAGTCGTTTCAGCTGCATTTCGTCCACTCTAACAAGTGCCACAGAAGAGGAATGAGTTCAACAGTCCAAAAGAATAAGAGCGGATTACTACTTTACTTATAATATTACTGAATATTTGAGAAGAAATGACAAAATAACTAATCTAGAAACAGACCTATCCTCGTGTCGATCACTGCTATCCGAATCTATCTCACGATTGCGACTTTTAGGTCTTTTTGGCGTCTCCGAGGCCTGTAAACGGCTGACAGCTGGGCTCTTGCTCCGTACACGCCTACCCAATCTCGCAAAAAAATTACCTGAATAACGAAAAATGAAAGAATAAGTAGTAGAATATTCGTAAATCACTCACCAACAGGCGATGCCTTGGTTCTTGCCTCCTCCACAGGCATTGCGAAAGCTAGAAAGCCTAGCTGGCCACTAAGAGGCAAGGGCTAAACAACACATGGATACTGCATTGAACGTGATCATTTTTACTACCAGGTATCAACGGAAAAACCTGACACTCGAACATATTGGAACTCATTGGGAAAGTTCTTCATACAACGGAAAACTGCAAGCAAATTTTTCAAAAGACAAAAAACCGTCGAAATTTCAAGCGTATCACCTGCATGTACAAAAGCAATAGAAAGTAAAAATTTGGGGAAGCACTGCTAAAAATAAAAGTAGTCCAGAGTAAACGATCAAAGAATCACAAAACCAGAAACTAGCGTACGTTGGTATTTTTCCGGCAAGTGATTCTGATTTATTTATAGCACTGATTTGTGTTCGATGGACAGAACAGCGGGTGAGAGCGAGAGAGGGGGAGAAGAAAAAAAGTAGGTTTTTCAAGCAGAACGCCAGTAGTTGATGTTACCCGCTCGACGGATGTTAGGATGTTCGCCGTCAAGGGGAGGGGTCGCACCCATGAAGCGGTCGCCCCATATGCCCCACATTTACCAACGCCCGCTTGACCCAGCATCAACACTCGAACAGATGAAACAACATTATAGATCAACTACTTCCTACTCGAGCGCAAATTCATACCGCTCGCAGAACAAGCCAATAAAATCTCTTTGCAGAATATAACAAACAAATAGGAGAATTGCCAAACGAGGTTGTTAGTCGGAACGTTTTATTGGAAAAATATTTCAACCATCTCTTCTTCTTCTTCGGAGGCCTGAAAACGGCTCAAGACTTTTGATTTGTTACCTTCCCGGCTAAACGTCTTCCCGCTCTAGCGTTCCCGACACGTCGGTCCCGAATATGAACAGCCCAGCAATAACTGCAAACAACTCACCGACGGTTCCACCGTGCGGAGCCTAGCTCACGCTGTGTGTTAGTGAAAATAGAGGTCGAATGAAACTCACTGGAGTGCCATAGTGGCGCATAAGCCAAAACTGTTACTGTAGCTCGCACACTGCCACAAACGGTAGGATTTCATTTGTAATTTATGACCCTGAACTGATCTCCTGCCATTTAAATTGGAGTGTGAGCTACAATCAGGGCGATGTGCGCTGCAGCAGTCCTGATTTACCAACACGAACACTCAAGTGAAACTCATTCGTCCTTACTAGTTCTACTAACACACCGTGAGCTACGCTCCGCAAGGTGAAACCTCTGTTGAGTATCTTCAGCTATAACCGAGTTGTTCAGAGGCATTCAAGACACGAGTCGGAAACGCTAGAGTGGGTAAGGCATTTGGTCGGGTAGGTAACGAATAGAAGCTTGGAGGCATGTTCAGGCCTTTGAAGAACGAAAAGGTCGCAAGCTTATTTCCATAGAATGTTCCGTCAACAACGTCGTTTGGCAGAATTTTTTAAAAATTCGGCATCTCGGCCGTGGTTACAACAAGGTACAACGCGGAAACGGTATAACGTCTCGGCAGACCAGTATGTCTCACACTGGACAATAAAAAAATATTCCATTGAGTTTAGCTTAAACTAAAGGCTAAGCAGATAAAAAGAAAGACGATAACATGTGAAACATGAAAATTTAACAAATCTACGGACCCACATGTTCATGAGATAGTGATTATTAACACAACGCGGTAAATAACAGCTCAAAATAAGGATACCGCGTAGTTGGACGGGGGTAACAGTGAACAAGATATGAAACATAGCTTAATCAGATACATCCGACTCGTCCGATCCAGCGTTTTGATTATTATTAGGTGGAGAAGCAGTGCTTCTGGATACTTCGGCGCTTCCACTATCAGCCAATGCCTGTCGCGCCTTCAAATAAACCGGTTGAGATGACAAAAAGCTTTGGCTATTCGGAACTACCATATCTTTAGATTGGCATGGGGGGAAGAGGGGATAAGCATGCTGTACTTTCGTTACATTCCGTCTTCGTGTCCAGGCGTCAAGTAGAAACATGTCTTTTGAAGCCAAAAAGTCACCAGTCAAGTTTGTAGAAACTAGTGTCAACTGTCATGAAACACCTTTCAACTCTTGTCTTATAATGAACACAACGATGGGAAGTAGCGAAAGTGCAAAAGCCCCCCCCCCAAGCCAAATTGCGCCCAACATTTCTGTAAATCAAAGAGGCACCTTCCATTCCGCCGTCAGACGAGCCTCTTCTGCAAGAGCCTCCTGCTCTATTTCTGCACCTAAGAAAGCAGTGTCCTTGATGTGTTTGGCAAGCGGTTTCGACATACTGAAATCATAAACCTTCACAAATTTTGCTGCAGCACTTCAACAAAACCAGAAAACAAAACTCACGAAAAGGCTCTGAAACGTTTGCACGGCCCAAAAACACCTCTCAGTTTGTCGTCGACAAAGCAGAACCGCTTATCTTTTGGATCGAAAAGGTTATTTGCCCGGATGTACTCCCACATTTTCGATATCACCTAAAACAAACAGATACACGAGAGATCAGTGAACGTTGACAACACTTACATCGCATCGTTTCATAAAGCGAGCACCAACAATGCTCTGGAGCTCCTCACTCAGCAAACATAGTTTTGTCATTCGTCCAAATTTACCAGAATGGTCTTCTTTGGGAGCATTTTTGTCCCTCTTCTTCGACTAAAGGCAATAAGTGTGATTAGCATATTATAAAGTGATGCTTCGCAGAAATTAAACGAAAACTGCTTTGAAATCCTCAGGACCATTAAACATGCGACCTTCAACTCCAACTTACCGCAAAACATCACACCATTCGAAATGGTAGCTAACACATCAGCATTCAGGAGTCACCATGAAGGTTCGAGGGAGAAAAATTCGCAGATTCTGTGCGCTGCGGAATTGGAGGAGCTGCAGATTTGGTGAGTGCAAATAGTGGATTTGAGGGTTCAAGTGGGAATGTTGCTGACTTTCAAGTTGAAATGTCGTCGAAAACAGTTAAAAACGGTCCGACTGATTCTCAGCAGTGGAAGAACATGCAGTGGATAGAGAGCAGAGACACTTGAGCAGAGACAAGATAATCGTGGGCAAGAGCTACGCTACTGCAAAGACAGCATCGTACTCCTAGACTAAGATCCAGCGGAATTCACAGTCTTCGCCAATGCGCGGTATCTGCGGAGTCTGCGGATTCCTCGAATCGATACGCATACATTCATTTTCCGCAATTCCGCGAATTCCGTGGAATCTTTGTATGTGAACGCGACCCAATGGGAAAAACTATTCGCAACGCCACGCAGCAGCTGTACGAGATGGGCGTTTCCCCATTGCAAGTATTTAGCGCCCATAGCCCGCACTTTCGACTAGCGGAAGTGACTCATCCTAAGTGACTGCGAAGCTGCGATGCTTATAAAGGGAAAAGATCTCTTCTCTTACCATTAGGTAACAACAGAATGTTTCATCAATTCAACCTTTACCCTGAGGGACATGAGGCTTGACGGGAGTTCACCCTAAGGAAATATGTTATGGGTGGTTGCATTGGGGTTTCCGTGCATTGCGGTTTCCAATTTTGTTGCAACCACACTGAAGTACTCATACAAATGAAAACTCGACGCAACGTACCCTATCCGAGCGGTCCGCAGTCTTTTTCAAGATTTGTGCCGCTTTGTCAGCTGCTGCTCTTCGTCGATGCTTAACTGCTGTCATCAAATCCACATCGCCATCTTCACCATCGCCCTTCAACATGAAAACAATAGCAACGAACTTTTCCAAAAAATCACGAGGATGAACAGCCATCAACTCCTTTTAAGTCTGAACAATTCTGCCTATGTAGCCGAAAAATTTGACTATGCTTAAAACGGTCCACGTGTGTAAAAAAAAAAAATAAAAAAACGTAAACACTCTGCATTGAAAAACACCATGCATATTGAATTAAAAAAGGCGCTGTGAATGATAAATACCATTCTACCATGTTTTCACTTTCATCCCCCTCCGTCACGCGATATCGGAACGAGCACCCATCAAGTTAAGCACAGGTGACAGCTAAGGCTCCCATTAAACCGAACGGACGCACAATTCCATCAGAACGTTCACAAACATCACCAATAGACCTCAATCGAATACCGACGTTGGGCGACAATACGGGAATAGCATATTGATTGCATACATTAAGCATAACGCTATCCCTTTTCAATCAATAAAAGAATTTAATAACCAAACATGAATTATGACCAAAACACTTTTGCCAAAAGTAACTCCCGTAGCCGCAACTACACATAAAACTCGCTCCCAAAATGTGCATGGAAATTAATGCACATAGCGATCAATTCCATATTAATAAATCAGTATCAATAAGCGCCACAGTATGGTACTTGCTATAAAATATTTTCGCTAAAGTGCAAGGGTCGGCTTGTCTTGATGGATTACAACTTGCATTATTCGCTGAAAAAACTTATTGGGGAGTGCCACACCTATGAACAGATACCGCTGTAAAGACGAATAGCACTTTAGCTGCCCATCAGCTTGACAGAAAATCCACTATCCCTCACTCAAATCCACTATCACTGTCTCAGCAAAAAAAGATAAAATGATTAAGGCTTTGTTGATCAATCCTTTTTCGGGATGCAACTGTGAACTATACTGGAGTATGGTGCTGTCCCGGAGTCTCATTACTTATCTGAATGTGTAATAACAATGTGAAACTCCAAAAGTTTATTCCAAAAAACTCAAAAGACAGCAAAAGTCTCAAAATTTTTAAAATATCTTATCTTGCGATATTTCGGTGCACTTTTGTGAATTAACGATAACTTTCGAGAGCTAGTCGATGTATTGGGTTGGCATGTAAGCAATGGCGTTTTTCTTACACAAATTTTTATACAAAGAGTGATGGTCGCTCCGTGTTTTATGCTGGTTCGATAAATAATTTTCCGTTCTACAAGGTGGTGTTAGTTCCTTCCTACCTTTCCATGATTTTTGTCGATTTTCGTTTCATTGAAATGGAGTGTCGGGTCGGCACAAAAATGAGTTTTTGACAACTTTTCGCACTTTATCTCAGCTCTCACATTACGAAGAAGCTAAACAGTTGTGATGTATATGATCAAGGAGAGATGCTTCCTATGACAGCTTGGAGTTGGTTCAAGCGATTAGGAACTGGGAGTTCGGACTTTAAGTGTGCATCACATGGGGGCCCACTTGGGGATCGATTGCCTGCAGAACCTACCCACTACCTTTCAAGAGTCTAAAATAAACGGAGGGTGATGCTTGATAATGATAAGGAAAGCATTCCATGACCTCGACGTTTTCCCACCCTGTGGTATGAATCACCATGAATAAGGTGGTTTCCAGTAAGCTCCCAGTGTGGTTCGATGCTTGCCTTGAGGTAGAAATGGAAATCTTCGAATAACTTTAACTATTGTAAGCATCTCCGAGAGACATAGCCTTTTGGCCATAAACTTAGCAACTAGGCATCTGCGGTTGTAATTTTTTCGAAAATGCTCAATTTCGCCAACCTGACAGTCCAGTCTGAGCACCTAATTATCAGTGAAAACAAAAACTAAGAGAACCAGGAAGACAAAACGCGCGAAACACACGTACATGCTGAGTTCCGCCCACATTGGGCAGTGTGTACTTGAGTGTTCATAGGTCAAAATAGGGTCAAATTAAGCGGGCGAAGCCACCGACAAAAAACTCACAAAACGCCTACAGATGATAGATGGAAATAAATGGAGGTCAGCTGCAGGTCGCCGAGTAAATAAGAAAAAGATACCCGCAGTGGGGAGATCTGCACCGATTGATCAGCGCTTGTCTCCAAGAATCATAACTCGATTCCGAAACCCACGCCCACAAAAGGCGTTTGCAAGTCAACATCTTTCAACATGACAAATTCCCAACAATCCAAGGGTAGCATGAAGTCAACATCTTTCAACATGACAATTCCCAACAATCCAAGGGTAGCATGCAGAAAATTTGGGGGACCGCTAATAAACGGAAGGGAATTAATGGCCGGTGAAGCCGTATTGGCCCCATTTCGAAAATGACAGGGAGAATACCCGTTGCACACGGAGAAGGAAGATCGCCTGGCGATCACGATCACTAGTGAATGTCAAACCTTTCTCTTCAACGGTCGTTTCTTCTTTGGCGATGCTCTTCTGTCGTCAACCACACCTTCATCAGAGGTATCGCTATCGCTGTCAGAGGCAGCATCGGCTGCAGCAGACTTTTCCGGACTGGAAACGAGAAAATCCGATGAAAAGTACAATGGAAGAGGGAACAAACCACCTCTGATTCTCCTCAGTATCACCCGGTTCCGATGGCGCCTGTGCAAAACGCGCTTTTCTCTTCTTTTTGATTAAATGTAGACTGAAAGGCTGTAGTATTTAACAACACAGGGCAACAATGCAAGACAAACTTGAAGAAACTCTTACAGTCAGATGGGCTCGGATTTTAGAGCTGGTTATCTTATCGAGACCCTCTTTGTTGATCATTCTTCTCTATAGCATCCATGGCCTCATTTCGGTCAACCGGGAATGTGTCCTCGTCAGAAGATGACATTCTTAAAAGCTAAAGCTAAAACTGCACCGAGGGTACTATACTTTTCCAATAAGAAGAGAAGGGAAAGGAAATCACGAAAAACTAAAAAAGGAGATTTCCAGCGATTAGACACAGATCACATCACATAACATAGAAAATTATTGATTCCTGTCAAAGGGTGAATATGCCACAAATAGGCATCGTTATTGCATTCATAACTGACAAGCAACACCCGAAATGCTACCAAACAACTTCTAATTTGTTCAACACAATCAGCTGAAAATTTCGCAAAAATCGTGTGTGAGGGGGCATTACCTTTAATCTTGTTATGCCATTTTGCAAAGACCTGATGACCCTTGTAAAGCTACAATGTAGCGAGAAGTTTATTTTCACGCCACTCTCCCGTAATCTTTTTTAGATTCGAAGGCATCTAGTGGAGAAATGTAGGAAAAAACGATTGTGGGCCAAGGAGAACAAAGTTTCGTCTCTTTAGAAAAGAGGAACTAGGCACGCTTACGACTAACACAACACCATCAGAGATGTTTCGTTTCGTTTTTGACCCCAGATGAGAGGGGGTGGGAAGTTGATGGGGAGATGCCTAGGGACAAGGAGCGGTGGGCGAACCCATTCCTTTGAGTTGGAATCTCAATCGAAACAAAGTGGGTATCGTGTCATTTTCTCGGAACATTTGAATAGAAGAAGATTTTAGTTTTGAATACATCTAGTGCTCTGCTGGGGCAGTACAATGGAGCAAAACCCGTAGAGTGTAGCTCGTACCATTTAGTAGCATTACAAGAATTTACAGGCCTTAACAAAATGACAGGAAGTCAGCACGTTGGCAGGAACTGGCCCTGCCCTCTCAGCCGATTTATTCGTCAGCTTAAACAATACAAATTTGTTTTCATTTCACATTTATTCATACACTACACTAGAAGGTGTGCTCAAAACAACCGAGCATCCATGGCCAGACCGTTAGAAAGCTAACTAACTAGAAAAATGTAGTTTCGTGAAACTAAGCGTGTCGTTCTGTTCTTCCGAGGTTTCTAGATGAATTTCTAAAAGCTATATGTATTTTGATCCATATCCCAAAACCGCAACCGCTCAATAAAGGTGGACGAAATCGAAAATCAAGAATAATTTTACTTCTGTCTGCAGTTCATAGTGACCGCAAACGTCCTTTGAACTACAAGGATATTTTGGTCCAAAGAGCGACGCTGCATTCTGTTCTTAATAGATAGCTGATGGAACGACGATGTTTTTGGAAGCGCTGAAAAGAGCTAGGTAGCCCATTGCTCACTATCAAGAGGCATAGTAGAGAGTTAGATAAGTCAAAAATACTCTAAATACGATTTAAGCAAAAGTGTACCTTAAAAGGGAGCGAAAGACCGGAAACACTTCGGCGAGAGCCGATTTTTCACTTCAATAGCACGCAGGCTTGAGAGTAAAGTTAGCACTTGCTTGAAGAATATTGAAGTGCCTTCAAATAGACTTGCAACAAATCCTCACCTGAACTTCTAATATTACTTTTTTTAAGATTCTAACTCAGTCTGAAAGAAACCACTTATGATTAGTTCAGTAAGAACCATAAAGCAACAAAATTGAGATCATCCTAATAAACTGGTGTGGAAATGAAAACATGTCCCCCTTCAGACAGACTATCTCACAGACGATAATTCGAAAAAAAAATAGAAAAGTTGGCGGAACAGTTCAAGTAAAAATGACTGGACCCGTGTTTAAGTTGGAACGACATGTTCACTTTCAAACAAAATACTAACTCGTGCTCAAGGCAGAGGAAAGGGCAAGCTTCGGAAAGACAAGAAACGAATTTTCATAAAAATGAAGTATTACGACTGCTTAGTTCCTTATACCACCAATTATAAATAAGAGATACCAAAAAACAACAAAAAGTTAGAGAAAAGAAAGACACGAACATTGAAATCTTAGGTTACAAAGCAAACAGGCGAAATATTCACCAAAACGAAATGAGTGATACCATGATAAACCGAATTCAAATCAAGCAGACGTGGAATTTCTCAGGATTTTGCGGAGCATAAAAAATCGTAAAATAATCTGCTCCAAATGAACTCAGGGCGCGCATTCAAACGTTGGCAGCGATCTTTTCGAAAACGACCGATTTCTTTCCGTGGTTAAAACATGGTCTGTGCTGAGTTTTCTACCACATTCTTGAATGAAAGACTTTCGAGCTTTCCGCAGTCAGAAACTCCGAAATAATGAGCTTTTTTGTGGGTAAAATGCTATATTTTAGAGCTTTGGCATTATTCCAATAAGCTGAGAACTTTTTCTGCAATAGTTCGTGCTGATAAGGGACATCCCAATTTTACACAAGATGTCCCTCAAAGCTACGAAGAGCACGGGATTCTTTCCACTATTCTTCTTCAATTTTTTTAATGCTGAACGGGAAATGGCGGTTGATGGGGGGTAGGAATGATTACCAGCCCAGAGGACAAGGATTTTGGTTCGAGCGCAAGGGTTAGAAGCTCCGGGCGACGACTTTCCCTAGAGGATTTTAATAATTCCTTGAGGAGAGCAGTAATTCACTTGATCTCACTTATATCAAGTTCGAGATGTGAATAATGAACTGCCGGCCAGCTCATCAACCGAGAACGCCAGCTTTACGATCCGGCAACAACAGTTTGCAAGTTTACTGCTTTCCCCCCCCCCTTTTCTACCTAGGAATGGGAGTGAGATGTGATCCAGGGAACAGAAGTAGGAACTCTAAAGCACGGAGAGGAACCAGGACCTTATTCCGTTCAAAATTGGCGGCCGTTACGTGACAGATTGGCGCCAAAATCAGCCATCGCCGAGAATCGATTTGAGAGCGGGACGACGCGCGCGTCATGCCGCGCGGTTGGCTTGTCGCCAGTCCTACATTGGGAAAACCTTTGGCAGTCGCTTCGAGAACTATCGTTTTCGTTGTGAGACCAATGCCGTCTATACCTTCAGCTCGCTCGAAGGTTGCGGTGGATTTGTGAGTTTAAGGATCGGTGAATGGAGTCCACACTGGGCTATACTTTTGACACTGCGCATATAGAAATAAAATGCGTCTTTTCTTTCTTTCCCTCATGTCATTTTATAATGATGATTTCCAAAGGGGAGATTATCTTCACCTTTGTCGATCCTCCGCTGCGTGATCCTTTTTTCTCGCGTCATCAATTCGGCGTAAGATAGAACGGGGTCAAGGAAGGGGAAATGGGGCGGAGTTGCTTGGTGATCAAATGATCATCTCATATGGAATATCTTCCGCCGACCCTCCTTTTCTTTTGCCACCTAGTTTTTTGACATGTTGGCATAGTCGTTATCACTGAAGTCACTCAGGGCCGTGTCAGCGACACTTGGGCTGGCGCAGGCCCGTTTTCCATCGATCATTTCGGTTCTTTGTATTCAATAAGTTGTAGAGAAAGGGCTGCCGCCGCGCCGAAACGCACGCGCTGCTGACGCACCCCGACTGACCTCAGTGGTAGCGATTGTACTAGAGGGGGGGGGGGAGGGGGAAGGAGACCAGTGCTCGTTGCATGTTCACACTTCACGATCTCATCGATCAAGCGATACGATTGCGAAGTATGAACGTGCTCTTGAGCTTAGTGGAGACTATGTTGCCCCGCGAAACTAATCTTGGACTACCCTGGTCGTCTGCTGTCTAAGCCTCAGGTTTGGTTAGGGGAGGGGACGCAGAGACGCGGTCAAGTGGTCCCCCCCTCTACGTAAGAGCGCGTTCAGGCTTCGCGATCGCGCGATCCGATCGCGCTACTGGGATGGGTGAAATTCACACCCGAGGGAGTCATGTTTATTGTGTTTATTTAAAAGAGAACAAGAACAGTAAGCATGAACAAACATGACCCCCACCGGTGTAAATTTCACCCATCCGAGTAGCGCGATCCTAGTCGAGCGATCCGATCGCGCGATCGCGAAGTCTGAACGCACTCTAATGCCTGATTCTCGATTCTTGTGGGCGTCGTTTGCGCTTATTTGAATTCGAACTTTTAGCGCGGAGTCGTGTTACCCACTGAACTTCATTTTTTTGTAGCGTCGCTGCACATACTATACATACATACTTTCGAGAAGCCTTCAATGGAAGATAGACCAAAATGTGGTGCGTGGTGCCTTTATATATTTGAGCTCTACCGGTTTTGCTATGATCAGGAATGTTCATTTGCCGAAGTGGATCTCACTATGGCTGCGAATTGTAGGAACAACAGACTGGTGGTGCGGATGCTGGGGCATCTCAGGGGGAGGGGCGTTTTGGGCGCAGCGCCAGACCTTTCATCACTAATTTTGGGAGCTGCAGGCGACTACAATTGGTGGTAAATGGCTCGCGCCGCGCCACATCCAGCTCCTTCCCCTGTGACGCCCCAGCATCCACTGCGAACAATATGTAAGCACTTCACTGTTTTTTTTTATAATGCATTTCCAATAGGGCCAGATGAGGATACACTCAGTCCCATCCAGCGAGAGTTACTGTGCGAAGCTAATGGCTCTGCAGCTTTCTCCAAGCCAAAATGTAAGTTTTCTGTCCTCGAGAACAGGTTTGTGGCACTGTAAAGCTTCTTATTTCAAGCCAGCTTTATTTCCAGTAATTGATGGGAAAAGGGATGCCGACTTAAGAAGAGCTGTGTTTGATGCTGTTGTGCAGTTGTCAGAGGTTGTATCGGAAGGTGTTCTCAAAGTGCAGGTAAGTTTGAGGATTACCCAGAACTGTTTTTTCGACGCATTTCGCTTTGGGAGCTTTGTTTTTCAAAACAGAGGTTTCCAGCTCCCCTTCCTGCACTGCAGCTCCTGGGATGAGGTTATTGAAGAGCGATTCCTCGGCAGCCCACGTTTGTGTGGTTTCCCTACGTGTGGAGAAGCTATTGAAGTGCAGCTGAAGAAGCAAAAATATTTCATAGACAGGCATGCCCGGAAGGTTACTTTTGTTGACTTCTTATTGAGAGACGGCCAAGACAACCGTAAGTTGTCGCTCCGTCGCGCGCGGCGTTTTCCTGAGTTGCATTAGCCTGCCGACTGCCAGCACATCTAATGTATGACGGCATTGTCGTCATCTACGAGCCAGAAACATCGTAAGTCACGTGCGCGACGTCCACCAACGCGGCGGATTATGATTGTCTTGTCAAAAACTCCCTCTTATTGCTATCATTAATAAGTGCATTTCATTTATTTATTTCGATAGCCCATCTTATGGTCTATGATCGCGACTCTTTTTAGATTTATGAGCATCGCAGTGAGAGTGACATGTATTGTTCTCGTTCGTGCATGCAACGATCCGCTTCTATTAGGGCGCAGTTAGCCGATGAACCGTTGTGGCTTTCTGGGGACATTTCGAGAAGAATGCGTGAGTCAACAACGGTCATTCAGAACCCCGTATAGCCATTTTTACAGCTTTTAGTTTTTAGGTATGTCGTATAAGATCGAGAGGCCCGTGGAAGAAAGTGGAATGTTTGCTAAAACGAGAGAGATTGAGGTTGTGCGAGCAGTTGAGGAGAAGCTCAGTGACTTGAGGATCAGAGAAGGAGAGTCGTCGACGGAATCCGAGGTGGAGGATTACGCAGACGATGAACGGGTAAGTGAAGAATGAATGAGACTTGGTATCAGATTCGTGTGGGAGGATAAAAATACTGATTACGTGGGCTAACCCGCGAGTCATCGTGTAGACCGTCGCATGCAAAGAGACATACGATGTACAAGACAGTGTTCTTTCTTCCCGAACGGATCTGGTTGCGATTCACCGTCCCTGGAAGGTAGAGGGCTCCGATGGCTCAGTGAGGAGTCGACTCAAGATTTCACCCCTGACTGGGCGAGTGGCCCCTTAACTGTGGTGGATAAATAAGTGCATTTTTCCGAAAACCATAAATTGTTTTCAGGATGTGAAGTCATTCATCAAAACTGTTACGAACCTGATTGGTGTTGAGGACGAACGACAGAATATAAAAGAAAGCGGTAAAGGAGCGCCGTCACCAAAGCTCCCCTCTGATGCACCTGAAAAGCCCAAAGCAGTGTCAAAAACCGCCACAAATGCATCCGCCAAGGCTTGTGCAGGCCAGCGACCAACGTCTACACGCCGTCTGAGTGAACCACCGGCAGTAAATGCGAAATTACCGGATCCTCAAATGGCATCCAAACTTTCGCTGACTCAAGCAGAACTTGAAAAACTCTCACGATTGAGGTAGTTGAAGTCTAATTGAAGAGAAACTGTGCTTCAGCTTCATTACTAATGTGGAATTTCAGATCCAAGTATTCGAAAAAACCCAAGCATGGATAAGAACAAAAAACGAACTATAATGTTGAGCGTACGCCTGCACCCTTTCTTTCCGCCATTACTTGAGGTATTAAAAACTATAATATGGCTATCAACCAGCGCAGTTCATAATTGATTAGTACTACATAAAGGCGTTCAGCGAGAAAACTGCCAATTCAGATGAGGACAAGAGTTCCATTCTATGTGCAGGCACTGGCATTCCGAAATCATGAGGAATTAATGGGTTCGTACGCGCGCATAATTACAAACACCACGTATTTAGGCTCTTTACGAGGACTTTCTAGACCGATATGCCGATTCTATTTAAATGCAGCCGATGCGACAACCTGGGTTTTGCCCAGGTTCCTCAACAAATCGTTGATTCAATAGCACGGATAGAGGGTGTTAGTGACGCGTGTATGAGCGCTACGCATGCGCGGCTATTCTCGCTAATACAAGACCCTCCTGAGTCGCAACAATCTGGCGCGCAAAGGCCTTGCCAATGGCTGCCTAAGCTCGACGCCCCGCTCATACGCCGCTATTCATTTGCAGCGATCATGACTGTATATGTGGGACTGTTGGAAGGGTAAATTCTCACAGGATAGAACCATCAGAACCCATAATTAACATTTCTCATACTTTACAGCGATTGATATACTCGTTTGTGGTTCAGATCCTGTTAGAAGAGCTAGAAGAGCAGATAAACTCCTGCTGCTGTAAGCTTTGTCCTCCCCTCCTCCCCCCGCCCCCGGCCCAACGAACACTCCCATTTGTCCAGGGCCACTTGATTGTACATGATATGCTGACTTATGGGCAAAAGTCAGACTTTATGCGGGATTAGAGCCGCACTTCTCGCCTATCGGGCTGCCAGGTAACCGGGTCCGGGTGGTTGGCATAACCTCGTATAGAAGGATCAAACCAATGGTTTCTATACCCTTTGTCCCATCCCAGCGCACCAAACGAATACGGTTTGAGGGTCTCCGTAATTATTGATGGACGTAGAATATGTGGCTCTTCCCATAGGAATCCATCCTCAAGGCCAGTGCTTGCTAATATTCGTAATAACCAATCAAAATTCTACTTCACTTCATTAATCAGCTGGATTTCAGGGGCTGGATTACCAAGCGAACTCATCAGTTATTGCGCTCAGGAGGGCTCTGCATTTCTGATTCTGCTGACTCACTCATGAAACAATTCTTCCAACCATATGGTGAAGACAGTGCGGTGGACAGGGTAAGAGAAATGGATTGTTTCGCTTGTATCTACTCACCCGGGCTATAATAAGCGCGCTAAATCATACAGTCGTTCGCTAAGGATGATGGGGCATGTCAAGGAGGATGGGTTTGGCACGGGGTCAACCCGTCTGTTTTCTTTTTTTTGGCAAGGGACATGATGTATCCTATCGCTCGTATCAGTCGGTTTTCCGCAGGTTGTTGTAGCTTACTCGCTTCAACAACTGGTGCATAACTGACTGACGCCGCGCTAAACCCCGCCCTACTGACACGTCCTTTCATCCACAGCGAAGCGATGCTTTAGCATCATTCATTTTTCACTCCTATTCGATAAATCTCTTTATTTTCCCCAAATTGTCCAGACAGATCTTCCAAGGAATCTTATTTCAGAACGAAGTTCTGCTTCCATGTGTGGATTCCATTGATGTTCAAAAGAAACGTCTGCATATATTTCTCGATACGGTGAAGAAACCGTGAGTGGTTTTTTCTCGAAAAAAAAACTTGAATTACGAAGTTTCAAGGATATGAAATGGTGAAACATTGACTCTTGAAAGGAGTCCGAGAGACTGGCGATTCTGTCGTGAATTAACGGGATCGACACCGATCACGCCGCGCGCGGTCGTCGGCAGTGTCAAAGTTGCATTACCGTATGCATAAATTTGTCGTTAATTTGTCGTTAGTGGGTTTACTCTGGTTCACGAAAGTGTCCACAAAAGTAGCAATGGGATGGATCCCCTTGGTAGTTCGGGCGAGCCATGCGAAAAGACAGCTCGTACACGAAGGTTGCGACGTCGCAGTCCACGCCCACTCCCACAATAAAAACGCTACATATCCAGAAGTTACAGGTAGTGTTGTCATAGTTCTTCTTCGATGGATTCTGATGATTTCTCTTTCTCTAGTTTTGCTCCCGCTTATGATCCTCTGCAGCCGTTATCGTCTGAGTTTCACTGCAGCCACTCATCTCTGCAAAAATTGCCCAGAGTGTTCTCTGGCTCGAGGCACACGACCAGCTGTCAACCTCGGCTCACCTGGTCTACCTGATCTTTCGAAACCCCTTGCGAATAGGGCTGTGAACATCTGGTCTTGTCATCAACATCTCGACCGTCGTCAGAATGCGGAACTTCGGATTCCCTCCACTGGTTGCGTGTAGCGGAAATCGCTCTTTGCGGGTCTAATGAGCTGTATGCCTCGTGCGTGATAAATGCGAAACACTATTGTTGTGGTCTTGACGTCAGAAATGTGTCATTTGGCGCAGGTTTGAAGTGTGTGAGTGACCACGGAACAACTGGTTCCTTTTTTACAGTTTTTTTTATGGATAAGTTTATTTTTTTAATAGCCAATGTAATACACTTAGCCCAAGCAGACTACTTCATTAAGACACGGCATTCGTTTCCGCTTCATTCTGGAAACTGAGTGTGGCGACGTGGCTGCATGCTTCGCTTGACATACTCTCGCTTATTCATTACGGACTGGTCGGTGCCGTATCAGCGCAGTAGGATGCGCACATGTTGAAGCGCCGTTTCTGCGAGCCTTTATCTTTGGAAACGCGTATGCGACAAAAAGTGGTAGAAAACGAGTAATACGAAGGATATAATGCTGTCATGTCATTTGCTCACTTCAACAACTGGTGCAGAAAGACTTTGGCACCGCGGAAAACGCAGCCGCACTGACCCGCCCCGACAGTCCGTAATGATGAGGAGTGTACTCATGCGACCGTTTAGGTGGACCTTATATTGCCCGGAGTGGAACAATTATAGACATTTCTGCACAAAACAGGACTTTTAGATGGCTCAGATAGAAGTATCCACGAGGTTTCGTAATAACGCCCTCCGCATCTCCATGATATAGAGTAGATGGTCTTGTACGTCTTAAACAGAGCGCTTCCGCAAGGTTCACTTGTTAAAACTGTATCGGAACTGATAATACTTTTTGAACGGGTTTTTAGTCCACTACAGTTACTCCTTGCATTATATCCGTGTTTTTCAGGCTCTCAGTTTATCAAAGAGAGCTGCAGTTCTCGTTCTCCAGATTCAACTGGCTCTATGTCCTGGTGCCACATTTCACCTGGAACCGAACTATTACTGATTTCTCGAATGATATGCTGAAGCTGATATGTCTCACGCTTTTGAAACTGTGAGTCCTCACTTATTTGAAAAATAATGAGGGGTGATTCCGGCTTGGGGGAGGGACGCTTGTTGTAGCTCAGGAGTTTTTTACCTTATTCCTTGGTTAATATTAACCGTCTCACCTTGATGAGACCCTGCAGGGCTTCTTGTCAGGTGTTTACGTAGCCAATTTCTTAGCTTTCACAACTGATAACAGGTCTCTACAGGAAAATCAGCAGTAATCGATGGGAATCACCGAAATGCCCCTGCGAAGCTGAAAAGGCGCTGGAATTATTAATTATTTCGGGCGCGTTTAGTCTTCAGGAGATGCTTCTCATGCGCACAGTTGGCGCCAATGTTTTCTTCCCCGTTAGTATCGACAGATTTTACCGGCTGTTGGACCATCAAGAGTGTAGCGCACACCCCCAGGTGGTCGTCAAGGATCGAGTCAGAACGATGTTTATGATATGCGTCACTTATTTGTCTTCTATTCTGCGCTGTGAAAGAGGATGACTGTATTGGGGGGTTGGAAACCATGGACATTGTTCAACGAATGCACGATTTCCAATGTCAGTGAGTCAAGATCTCGTTTTCCCTCTATTCCCAGGCATTCGCTTGAAAACCCTCGCGCTCAACCTTTTTTTTATTGTTTTGCGATGATTCTTGCTACGATAGGGCATGGACGGCGTTTGATAGGGGGGGGGGGGGGGGGGGGGGGGGGGGGTGGACTGCCAAGGCGGCCTTTTCCACCAATGGTGCAGTCGAATCCGCAAGAATTGGTAGGAAAGACTGCTCTATTTTTGCTCCAGTTCACGCTTCTTCCACACTGTACTGCAAGAGATAATGGGCTATATAATGATATATATCGAAATCCTGATATCGAGTAGGAGCTGCATCCTTGAACTTAACCTGAAGGAGTCTACGCCTCTGGTAAGATATTTTCATCCTGACAAAATTGTTTTCGTGTCTTGTCCAACACAGAACAAGATGACAGTTGTCATAGACTGGAATATTACACGAGTAACCAGTTCCGTGCCATGTTCAAATGCCACGCCTACCCTGGCTCAGGGATAAGGAGTGTACCATGAGCAAAACTTCTGGATACTAAGGATGCAGAAGATTGATAATGCATTAAATTTTCCTAATTTTGTTTAAATGACAACTGAGACTTTGAAAGTTGTCGCTCATATGCTTTGAATATATGTTGCTATCTTGCTGCTTGCGGGGGCATTTTACGCTTTCGCTAGATCTTTTGTTAGTCATGTTAACTAGAAGGTTTCACCTTTTGGTCAGACCTTTAAAGCTCTTCTAAACTGTGGAATTGTTCGAGCGGAGCACTTAGGTCAATGATTTCACAGGTCTCCAAGTGAACCTGTGTACGCAGCTGAGTTCATTTGGTGACAGCAAGCAATACCAAGAGTCAAATGTGGCATGGCGCGCTTTGAATAGACTGACTTCAAATCTTGGGTTATTTTTTCTGGTCTTTCACTGGAACCATTAATTGCAGCATTTCGAAATTGGATAACGCAGTGGAAGATGCGGTGTTCCCAGCAGGACAACCATCAGAGAAATTCTTGAGCTGCTTGTCCAAACTGGGTGTTGAGCCTCACGCCTTCGACACGCTGGCTGCAGAGATTCTCGAGAACCATGAAGAGACTTCCTAGCCAACAATGTCATGCATTTTCCATCTATTCTTAACATGTACGTAAATAAAATGCGGGATATCACAATCCAGGTGAAAAGGTGATAATAGAAGGCTGCCTACTCGATCTTTGGGTGTAGTTCAGCACATCCGTGTCGCGGCGGGTCTGCGAAAGAGGTGCTCCAAATGGTAACACATGCGCGGCATTCGCACCAGGATCCAGTTCATTCGACACGGCAATGCCAGCCGCAACCCGGATGTCCTGAAATGCAGGCTTTACTGTAAATGAGCGTCTAGAATGACTTTCTGTAATCCGTAGCTATCCGTTATCCATTTTGGTATGCATTTTTAACAAATGTTTTTTTCTGTCATTTTCGGATGTCATTTTTGTGTCATTTTGATTGCATTAGTTTGTACTTTGTGCATGTATATAGGGCTTGTTTGTGCCGTGATGAATTTCCTATGCGGTCCAAAGCAAGGCCAAACGCAGACCCTAGTCATTTGCGCTCTTCTGAAGCCGCGTTTCCAGTCGGGAAGAGATCACTTATTACGGTGCGGCGTTGCCCACCTCGACTACCGTAGCAGAATCAAAAGTTAGTCTGCTCAATGTGCAGTCATCTTCGCTGCCAGGGCGTGTCAGAGGCTTAGGTGTACCGCAGCGCCAGCCCGTTTCCCAGTAACTTTTGTTGCTTGCCCGTTGTGAACGATTGGTGAGAACGAG